GGACCTTTATCTCTGGAAAACTCCTAAACCGTAAGACTTGGAGACAAAAAAATTTTTTCATTCCCGTAACTCATTGTGCCGAACATTTAAGGAAAGTTTCGTCAAGATCGGATGCACGGTGTCGGAGATGATTTCTGAGGGGGAAGCCCTTAACTAACTTAAATGGTTTTCTTCTTCTACAGTATGTCAATATGACTCATTAGAAAATTGAACAAAATGATAATATTAGATATTAAAACAATGCTTACAGCGATAGAATTCATAATACTAAAGATAAATTATTTATTATATGTACTGTTTATGAAATTCATTAATATTTTGTACTACGTTCACATAATTTTCATAGTACGTTTTTGTATAAAACAATATTATTTAATTCAATTTTATATTTGTTTTACTCATTTCTGAAAAAAACATGAAAATCGAAGAACAACACATTTTATTTATTTTTTTCTTCAAATATCTTTCAGTACTTCTATATGTTTTACGATTTTTTTTCAACATTCCAAGAGTCTATTGAGCTTCGGCCAATGGTCGATATGACGCATCAACATTTTGTTTTTTGGTTTGAAATTTACTACTGCTGCAAAAATTTTCTGAACGATTCAATTGTGATTGTGTGTTGAACATAATCCGTATGCAGCCGTTACACTCAGTTGTGTTACAATGTTTCTGAACATGGTCTTTACGGCCATGTTTAAAACATACCGAGTTGTGACCTTGTAATTCGACTGCAATCCTAATAGTATGCGATAACTAAAGGGTACACTTTAACAAGATTTCAAGGACACAACTGGACAACTGAAGACACAATCTTTCCCTGTGAGAGCTAGTAATATGTTGAAAATTTGGATAAAATAAACATGTTTCTATTTTATGATGCTCATAAAACTGAAATAGTGTAAACAATTTACATGAAAAAAAAACCAAAGGAACTTTTGGTAATTTACTTATAAATTTGATCTCTGAATAAAGTTTAGTACATTATTTGACTGAATATTTAATTCTCTATTTTTATTACTCATTCTATGAATGAAATACTACTTAAAAATTTTGATGAAATATTTTTGAGATATTATGAAAATACTCATACTGACAGATTTTTCCAAGAAAAAAAGTTGAGTGTCTTTACAAAAAACTTTATAAATTAGAAAACCAATAAATATTCACAATGGCTAAAAATTGAGATTTTTAGGTAATTTTGAATGGAGCATTGAATGAAATACTACTGCTACAAATGGTTTCCGTACGATCCAAATTCTTTTTTATGTTAACCATGACTCAGCAGAGGAGTGGTCTTTCAGCAAACGGTTTACACTAAAATGTTGCCCATTCGTCCGAATATATATTCCGAGTATATTCGTCGAAAAGAACATTTAAAATATTGGTTATTCTTGTCTGTAGGTCGACATCACTGCTCGAGTACCCTCTCTTCGGGTACGGAAGAGCTGCAAACATTTCCCGTACGACTAATGTAACTGATTTTTTGACTCATCAAGGAAATTTAAAGCTATGAAAACTATACCAGCGGAAAGCGGAGAAGGTAAGAAACATTTTGGCAAAAGAAGCTATTTGAAAAAAGCTTTCTTGGGGCCGGCAGACCGGTTTTAAGGTAAAGTTGACATGGTAAACATGTAAACTCTGTACCTCGGTAATGAATGGATGAAACGTCTTTTAGACATATCAATGGAAAGAGCATCAGAAACTGCGATAGAAAACGGCTGATTTAAAATTATACGAATAAAAGTTGACACATTTTTTTCGTCTGTTTGTTACGAATATTCAAAGTTTCTTCATTTTTGCAGGATTTTTACTTTTTATCACTTTCTTATTTATCGAAAACTGAGTTGAATGATATATGTTTCGAATTTTTCGTTGATTTTCCTTTTTTAGTGAAAATCTCAGTAATTTCCGGGAAAAAATAAAAGTAATCGGTTAGGATAAAAAGTACTTCATTCAACTCAGTTTTCGATGCTGACGCCAAATATGATATTTTTACTGAATAGACAGCCCTAGGTTATAACGAAAACCAGTTTCCGTCGAAAAATGTTTTCTTCTTTATGCGCTGAACTTCTGACAGTACTTTCAAATATTATGTGCACTTTAAAACAAGAACAGGACCTCATGAAGCAGCCAAATACCTACTTAATTTACTATAATTTAGTAAATTAACTAAATTATATAACGCTATTTGGGTACGCCCAGGGTCAGAACAACACTAAATCCTCTAAACACTGTTGGTAGCTTTACTTTTTTTCGAAAGATCGTCCTTTTGCGCGATCGTGCAGCTCGTGCTTAACTCCTTTTACTGTACGAAAAGTGATTCAGATTTGGTGATGAAAACTGAGAAGAAACGCAAAAAAGTAAGCGTACGAAGTTTTCGTTCTCCTTTTTCTTATCAAGAAGTCAATAAAGAAGAAAAGTATAATAAAAATTGCTTTCTGTGTTGTAAGTTTTCTAAAAAGAAACTGATTTTGTTTGATCCTTGGTTTTATTTTGAGAGAGAGAGAGAGAAAGCTGTGAAAACAGGGAAAACGTACGTAAATGAACTGCGATAATAAGGCTTTATATTACGACTCACATCTAGCTCTGTGTGAGATCCAACTCCCATTCTATAACTTTTATTTTCAGAAAGTGAACGACTATATGTAGTACACAAACTGAGCAAGAGTTGCGCAAGGACAGAAAGAGTTAGGAAACGAAAGGACGAAATAAGAGTTGCGTAAGGATAGTACAAGAGCAAAATCTTATGATATGCAGGGGACGGCAGGTCATAACACTCTGAATCCTGTTTTAACGGTGCACTTTCTTTCTTTTTAGATCAGATGTCAGCATCGGAACACGGTCCGCATAATCAAAATCAACTGCAATATGATGACTTACCTTCCGGTTGTCATAAAATGAGTAGTGTTGGAGATCAGCAGCCGATTTCTGAAAAGATTCGTGAGTTAACAGACAACTTCAATGATAGAGAGTGGTCTTTATCTGTACAACAACTCAGTGATGCTGACGTAAAGCTACTTGCAAATGCGCTGAAAACAAATACACACTGTAAAGTCTTAGATTTACACCAGAACAAACTAACTTCCGTTGAAGCACAGTTCATAGCTGACATGTTAAAAGTGAACACAACATTGACTTCACTGTGGCTCAGTTGTAATCGACTCGGTGATGATGGAACTCGGACACTATGTGAAGTGTTGAGACGTCAAAATAATATGCTCGAGCACTTGAGTCTTAATGGGAATAGAATAACAGACAAAAGTGTCGATGCGATAGTAGACATGGCAAAAGTGAATCAGGGGCTGAAGCGAATTTACCTGCATAGCAATCAAATATCAGAAGAAAATCAACGACGAATAAGTGATGCAGCTAAAGGACGAAATATTGAGGTCATTTTCTAAATGGTTGACCGATGCAAGTTCTCGCGCACTCTTCTTTTCGTTTTCTAAAGTTTGCAGCTCTCTCTCCCTCTCATATCGATTTTTCGATTTAAAATTCCCTTTTCTTTTTCTCTCTTACCATCGAACATGAAAGCGTCATTTTTTCTTTATCTAACTTCACTACTCGTTTTCAAAACACGACGAGCTGATAAAAAAAGAAAAAGAAAACAAATCCTTTATTTTTATATACTCTATCGAAGAAATGTGCACATACTACGAACAAGCAAGGTTTTTTCTCTCTCTTTCTATTACGCTACTTAGGTAATGTTATTATTTGAAAAGTAATTTTGAAATAAATGACTAGTGTACTATAATACTGCTTTCTACTACTACTATTTGCGCCTCTGTCTTGAAGAAGGATCCAGTTTCTTGTGTGAGTACCAAACCTTTTTGGATTTCACATGAAACCAATTTGGCACCACTTTGTTGAAGGTTGCGGAAAAAGACTCAGTAACAGAACCTAAATCAAAAGCTAGTTGAAAACATTAGACCTCATCCGATTGGTGTGATCGAACCCAACCTGACCTATGAATTTTTAAATCTTAAAGGTATGGCCCTTGAAAAATATTAACCAAAGCTTGATGCGATCCATGTATCAGAACAAGGACCTTCCTAATTACGTGATTCATGAATAAAATTAAAAATTTCTATTTGCAGCTTCTCTCTAACTCAGACATCTACGAAAGTATTTCACATGAAATTAATTCTAGTGTGCTCCGAAACACATCTACTGAACGTTTATTTGGTTGTATGGAACAAAACGGTCATGTATGGGACCAGTTTTTATGAAGTCCAATAAAGGAGCGGTATTGTGCAGAGGAACCAGCTCTTCTTGAAGTTCTGTAATATACTTTTTTTCTTTAACACCGTATGATTCCGCCTAAGAAAATTTCTGTTTTATGACATCGATAGGAGAAATTTTAAGATCTAAATCATCGATTTAATCGAAAGGATCAGAGGTAACCAAGATCTGTAGTTTTTTCTCTCGTAGCATAACTATGATAGGATTTTCAATTTTCTCCAACCACAACCGAATTCTTTTACCATCTAACCTAAATTTCTTTTTCTTTCAGAGGAAAATAAGAGATGATTATATTATCAACTCATTTTGAATGTTTACAGAATGAATTAATATGTGAAATATTTGATTATTTAACGGGTTTTAATATACTATTATCATTTGTCGATCTCAATCAACGCTTTGAACATTTGCTCCATACTTATCATCGTTACCATTTTAATTTTAAATTGGTGAAGAAAAGCATATTTGATTTTGTTTGTCATTTAAATATCGATCCACAACAATGTATTTCACTGACATTGTCCAACTTTTCTCATACACCGTACTATCAAACACCAAAACAAATTCAATTGTTTTTAAACAATTATTGTAAAATAGATCGGTTTCTATTACTTCGATCATTATCATTATATTCAATTGATAGAGATGAATTATATCAAATTTTATCAGGATTAAACAATTGTTGTCAATTAAAATCATTCACAATTGAGGTATTTCCATTTGATGAACAAATAGCTTCATTACTGAACAGAACCCTATCAAATATACCGACATTAAAATATTTAAAATTAGTATTTTCAATATTTCTCGACGAAGACAACAACAATAATATTAGGTTTATGCCAATAACAGCCACTAATATTGAGTATTTATCGTTAAGTCAGTATGATATCAAACATCTACCACAACTACTTCAAATGGTACCAAAACTGAAATCAATCAAGTATCTATCGCTGCATGATCGTAATAACCAAAACTCCATCTAGAACGTTCGACCTTTGAGAGGAGGGGTAGATGGTAGCCGGAACGAGACATAAGAAAAGGTTGAAGCAAACGCAGACGTCTGAAATTCTTTTAACGACGCGATTAGTTTCCAGAGTCGATTTATTATTTTTCAATATAAAAAAGATCGTGTAGGTGTTAGTCAGAACGATTTCGAACGAATATGTCATATCATATATCATTAGATACAGTTTTTTAAGCTGATCCAGAATATCACCTTACTTTCCAGTAGAATTGTTCGGAGATCGAAAAAAATTAGATTTTACCTAAAAAAGCTGCAGCATGATGGAAAAAGTTGCACATTTTTGCGCAATCAGAATTTGTTTGGTGCACAGCGGTGAACATTTCTGTATATTTTTAGGTCAAATTAGGAGATGAGAAAAAGTAAGAAATTGATTTTTCTGATCATAGCTCATCCGAAAATCACTTAGTTTAGAAAACGATTTTTTCTTCCACAGCAAAGGTCAAAACCGAAAAACTTGTTAATTAATTGATCAGTGAGTAGATTACGATTCAGAATACAGTGGTGGACAAAACTGAGCGTCCGTCTCCTCATGATGACATTGGTTTTGTTCTCATTTCAAAACAAAAAAAGCTCCTGATTTGCGGTTTCTAGCAGTATTTAGAGTATTATCTTTTGTCTGTGTGTACAAAATTTCAACTCAAAATAATCTGTCTTTCACTTTGTATTAAAGACAAGTAAAATAAGAACAAGCTTTGAACAGGACAAAATTGAGTATCCATTTTCAAAATCTAGTTCTTAGAATCATCATGACTCTTTTACATTTCTCAGTCAGATTAAAAGCTGATCCTTTTTAAGTGTTTAAGAAGTGCCTCTCTAATGATCTACTACAGTATTTTAATACGTATATTTCTTATGTGTGTTTGAACTCCGCATACGAACTTATTTCTATTTTTTGTCTTAACATCGTGCAAAAGAAAGAAGAAAATTTTTTCTCTTTATACCTATGTACAACTAACTGTTCAACAGTCACACTAGTGTACTTTAATTGCACTAGAAACACATTTCTTGTCTACATATGATATCTTTTCTTGATAATGAAATTTTAAAGTTCAAAACGTCCAATTCTACATATGTAAATTATTTTTGTGCTTATTTTAAATTAATATATATTTTATTCAGTTACCAATAGCATTTCCAGTAGCTGCTATAAACAGATTTTACGCTAAAAACTTTCACAAAGGCGCTTCAGTACAAACAAAGTCCATAAACTTATCATACTCGATATCGTATATAAATCGTTTCTTTTAGTTTTAAACGTCAATAAATCCAAAAAGATTTTCTGAGAACCTTTTCAAAGTCTCCTGGAAACCTCAATTACCTAGTAGTTGAAAGCGTCGCAGTTGATTATGTATGAAAGTCTTTCATTTTAGCTAAAGTCTTGTTGAACAAAAAAAATTTCGTGGGTTCCTCTGAAAACCCTCATAAAGCACTGATTATATGCCAATTATTGCGCCGTAATTTATTTATCCTTAAGATTTTTTGTTTCAACTTCAAATTCCGATGTTTCTGAAAAGATTTTCTGGAGATCCTCTGAAAGGCCTTTGAAACCCCGAACGTATGTCCATGGGATGCGCTATAGTCGATTACCTATGAATGCAATTTGTTTGGAAGAAATTCATCTTCTGCATCAAAAGTTATAAGCAGTCCGGCTGAAAAGAGTCATGTTCGATGCTATTTTACGTTGAGAATCGCCTTTCAAAACGTTTTTGATCACTTTTGTTCTAAGATCATTGGAATATGCATGTCTTTTAGGTAGTATTTGTAAACAAACAACGTTTATCGCAAAAAAATATGTGAAAGGAGTTCTAAGACACACACACATGAGGTCCAAGATATGAAATCAACTTTGACGAACATCTACTAAAACAATAAAAAATAGAATAAAATAAATTTGTTATAAATAGAATAAAAAATTCAAGAAATGCGAAAAAACTTGAATTATTTTTAGGATACAGTACAAGACCTCTTTAATCTATGCTTCGAAGAAATTTTTTGGTACTGCTAGTATATCTCCATAATAGAATAGATGGTCTGGAATATCTGTAGACAAATTGCAGAACGGACATACCTGATAAATGACCTCTAACAATGATCACAGCATATTTGGTACAGTTGAAATGCTTGTGCCCGATCTGCGACACTTAACATTAGATTTGACATCGCACATGTCGGATGAAGATCAAATTGGATTAGAACAACTGAAAATATTATTAAAACAACTACCACAATTAACTGAACTTACTCTGAAATGTAATCAACAGTTAATGCCATTAATTAATGATTTAGAATATTTAATTTCAGATTCATTACCGCTATTACGAAAATTCCAATTTCTATTCAACTTAAAAGACCTTCCAGCAACATTATCCGTCGATGATTTACTGCGACCGTTTGAAAGTGATTTCTGGTTAAAACAGAAACGTTGGTTTGTCCGCTGTGATTCCGAAAATCATGATACACAACTGTATACGATACCGTTGATCGAACATGAATCTATAATCAATAGAACAGCTACAACATTTATATCAAAAGCAACTTCTACGTTCGACTGCTATGTTAACATTAAATCATTAGATATACCATTGAACAACGTTATTATTCAATCTTTCCAAGATCGTTACTATTCAAATATTGATACTCTGTCTTTATCGTCAATTGGTAAAGAAATATCAATTGTGGACGAATTAAATCGATTTATGAATCTTACGACCGTACAGTATTTAATGATAGGCGATGATATTGATACAGAACAATTTCGTCAATTATTGGCATCACTGTCTCACATGAATTCACTAACAATTGATTTTAAGCAATTAGCATCATTTCCCGACGATCTATTTTTTATATTAAATCGAATGCTAAAACAACTGAATACATTTGAAGATACAGTAATTGATGTGTCAAAATTAGAACAATTTTCAAATCTTGAACAACTCGAAGTACTTGTTGAAACACCTCAGCATCTATTGCAAGTGTTAAATAAATTAGAAAATTTAACATGTGTTGTATGTCGATGTTACAACAACGATGAACATTTTGGAAATATTTCAAATATACAACAATGGTTATCGGATAATGTGTCACGTTTAGAAAATTTTACCTGTGAAAACGGACGGTGCTGGATTTATTTATGGATAAATAACGATATACCCAAGCGTCAAAAAAAAGTCTAGAATCGTCCGATTCATCTAGATTACTAGATTTTTACTCGATTGCAACTACTGTGTAACAGTGGAAATCTAGTAATTGGGCGATTACTAGATCTCATCTAGTTGCAAGTATCGATTTATCGCCCGATAATCGATCGATTTAACTATTACTAGATGCACCTGCAGACGCATCTAGTTAAAAGTCCCTTTTCCAACTAGTAATCTAGATGGCAACTAGTCGTGTATCGCCCAATTATACACGAAATGTATCTAGATTTTTCCCATAGGTGGCATTTCCTTGGGTACATTACAATAACGACGCCATAAATAAGTGTATAATCACTAAACAAACGTGATGGAATACAAGTTCGTCAATCTGATGGCACAAAAATACTAAGAGCATGTAGAATATAGACGATGTTATTATATGCTTTTAGGAAAATATTTGTTTTGAAGTTATCTAACGTACTTTAACGAGCGCAACGAAATAAAAAGTTGTAAAACAAAGAAGGGAAATTAGAAAAACACCTTGCATGAAATTTAAGAAATATTGCTTAATAACGGGATAAGAACGGCAACGAGGTCAGCAGACGAATATTCTTCGCAAAATTCGTTTCAGTTTGTGTCTCAAACGTATGACAGGATCGCGACCAGGAGTGGATCCCGGATTCTATCGACGGGATGGCGATTTCTAAACGATGTCGTTTGAGGTAGTATGAATATTTTTTCTAAGGAAGTCTGGTAGTGTACTAGCATTAGAATTCCATATGCGGGGAGGCGGCGGTCGCCGGATCACCATAGTGCTAGATGCGCCACTGATCGCGGTAGGATTACATCAAGGTCGCATCGAATTCGTGACAAGACCTTGAGGAGATTTTTTCTTTGCCCAATGCTAAGGAAAATGTTTCAAATTAACCAATCATTGTCGTCTTCTGATTTAGTTGAGGTGTTTTCAATTTCGATCTGTTCATACCAAGATCGTCGTCTTCTACTCTATGTGATTAAGATTACCCTTCCATCAAAAAGGAATAAAAAACGAGGAAATGATCAACTTAGTTTTCGATTAGGAATTAACGGGTGAATAAACAATCTTCTTTTACACTTGGTTATGGAGCTTTTCAACTCGAAATCAGTAAGTTCATTTTTTGAACGACCGTAAGGGTACAGTCAGACCGGTCTGCAGAATCATTTTATACATGCAGTTTGTGAGATATGCAATTTTTATACCTTGTGCAGAAAACTATATGTCAGAAAAACGATAAAATTTGAGATCAAACGTTCGAGTACTTCGAAAGTCATAAGAAAAAAGAAAAACGAAAATCGGTGAGACAAAGCAAAGCTGAACTGATAAATTGGTCGGTCTGACCAATTTGCTGCGCCGGTTGACCGGTATACCCAAGCTCAAATAAACAGTGGAGATCAAACTATCATATAAGAAAAAGGCATAACGCAGCCATGATGGGTTATATGTTGTCGTCTGGTGAGGAAAAGGAGGAAAGCAGATAAGTTAGAAAAGCATATGCGTGATGCATCCCTCGAGATTTTCAGAAAACTTCTTTTCTCGAATTGCCACAAAATCGCGTGGACTAGATGCAGTTTTTAACACTCATCAGGAATATTATATTCACTGCTCAGCAAGTAATTGTTCTCAGTCAATCAATTAATAGAGAGAGCATCACTGTTCAATTGATATAGAACACGGAAAACGGTCGCTAAATGAAGAAAAAATCATTCCGCAGTTTCTTTATCTAATTGTTCATTTCTAAGCATGCACCGGTTATAACCGATAAATTACACCTCTTTTCTGCAACGGATTGCATGAAAAGTACGCACATTAAAATTTTCTGTTTTAAACAGTGTCGCTCAAAAAACCTTTCACTTAGTTGTTAGATACAATCATGTGCTAAACCCTTTCTGCTAGTCATGTGATCATTAAATGATTCATCTAGGGATCACGTCAAAATAGATTCCGGCTGCCCGTCATTCCTCCAGTATTCCTCTATTACCCTACTCCACTCAGTTGTTATTCTTGGATTACATTAGCTCGGATGTTTAATCTTTATTGCTCAAAATTTTAGTTTAATGATTTCTTATATTGAACATCATTCTCTTTCACCACGGTTAACTCAAGACATCAAAGATGACGCTTGTATGTTTTTTCTTCTGATCTTGTTTTGTTCTGTTCGAATTTACTTTTTCTGCTCACTCGTATTTTATGTGCATAGAACATCTTTTCTTTCGAAACAAGAAATACGAAAAGAAGAAATTTTCATTTTTATCGATGTTCAATTAGAGATGGGACGAAAGACGTAAGTTGCGTAATAAGAGAACGAAAGAACATGTCTTATTCGGTCCACAAGCAGTAGACAGTGAGTACAAGTCGTGGGACAGACTGTCCACGTAGACTAAGGTCTTACTATAGAAAAATAAAATAAGTGGAAAGAAAACTATTTTATTCACGCATGAAACAGTAGATTATAATATGAAAATAGAATAATAGAGTGAGTACTGACCACTAAAGAATGCGATGAAATTGTACTATATCCTTCCTGTATCAGAATCAGAGCTGGGCAAGTCACGGATTTTCCAAGTCACAAGTCAAGTCATCAAAATTCATTCATCATCAAAAATTTTCTCAAGTCACAAGTCATGACTTGGAATTTGTATTTTTCGTAAAAAAATGCCGACAGCGAAGCTGGGCAGGTTACAATTTTTCTACGAGTTTCGGCATTTTGTTTAGATACGATGTTTGTTTTTCGTGTTTCCAAAAAAGATGTATTTCAAAAGATAATCATAAAAAAAGACAATGCTCTAATGAGTCTAACATAGTTCAAAAACAAATCACAGGTAAATAATACACACGTAGCACGAACACTTACGGGGAACCTTCGAGGTGTAACCTTCCGATTCCAATGATTTGTACATGGATCGATAGATCTCAGTGAAGTAGTAAATACCCTAAAACGAGTTGTGCCGATGACTCTTAAAGACCCGGTTTTCTGGAAAACCAGTTTTTCAGAAACTCTGAAAAGTAACTGAAACCTATTTTTAATGAGGTATGATTGTAGCCCACAAATTTCTGATTAAAATGAGACATCTCCCAACTCCACACGACCTTTCTTTGCATAGTTATAGAATTTACAAGAAAAGCCCTCAATTAATTTCTTCTTATTTCTGTAGCTTTGAGCTGACCATGAACATTTAGGGCTTTTCTTATAAATTGTATAACTATGCAAAGAAAGGTCGTGTAGAGCTGGGAGATGTCTCATTTTAATTAGACATTTGTGGGCTACAATCATGCTTCATTAAAAATAGGTTTGAGTTATTTTTTAAAGTTTCTGAAAAACTGGTTTTCCAGAAAACCGGGTCTTTAAGAGTCCTCGGCACAACTCGTTTTAGGGTATTTACTATCTCACTGAGATCTATCGATCTATGTACAAATCATTGGAATCGGAACCTCGAAAGGTTCCCTCGTTAGCTAATCTAAAATTAGATTGCATAAACGGTTTAAAAATATGCATGACTTGACTTGATTTTTTATGCCAAGTCACAAGTCAAGTCAAGTCATGAGTCATCAAAAACTTCCAAGGTCAAGTCAAGTCAAAAATGACTTGATTTGACTTGACTTGCTCAGCTCTGATCAGAATCTTATGAATTCTTATAAAGTAATTATATAATCTGAACCGAATTCTTATAAGAATCTTATAAGAATAACGTACGAGTTTTGCTGATTCTTACCAATTTCTTATGAATTCTTGTGAAATTCTTATAAGATTCTTATAATATTCAGCAAAATTCTTGTCACCATCGTGGAAGATCTTATATAAGAGTTGAGTAAGATTCTTATAAGATTTCACAAATTTTTTTTGCCTAGGGTGGTACTTCGCACGATTTCTCATGGTATTCTGCTGCACCTTCGGATTTTGCAATAAAACAGTTAGTACATTTTCTGTAGAGAATTCAACGGGGAATTTGTTGGTAAAAAAACAAGCTCATTCAAAATAAAAATGTACGAATAATGTGTGTCTACCTCGGTAAAGCCGCTTTGGGGCCATCTTGTACTGATCGAAACATGCATTGAAACGATATAAAATGTCTGGTAGGACAACGATTCAAACGATCTAAGTTCAGACAACTATCGACCTGCGGAGCATGATTGACAAAATCGTCTGAAAGTGAGAGCGAAAAGGGTGAGCGTAATTCCATTCTGTATAAAGTTGTAACTTCGTCTTTTCTTTTCTTCCTTTTTGTGTGCACGTGACAAGAAGAAAGAAAAGAAGACTATGGCCGTTTTTTCAGCTGAACAAAGACACAGTGTAAAGAAGCTTATTTTTTTAATTAAAACCAGTTTCGGAAATGTTAAATCAGCCAGTTACGTAGCTTCCCAATAGCGACAAAATACTAAATATATTTCTCAATTGCGAGAAACCCTTCGGGAATCATTTACATTTATCCGTATAGTATCTATCTATTCCGAGTATAACATTTAAAATTTAAATGTGTACCCAAGTAAGTATATGTTGCAGAAAAATTAAGTGAGATAGGAGGCTTTTAATTTTGAGTAGACATCGAAGAAAATCGAGATTTCCGACAAAATGATTCAGCTGAAGTTCCTGAGGCGAAAAGTATGTCTCTATTTTGTTTCTTAAAAGTTATCAAAAAACGAGTGGGTACACTGTTTTTTGAAACGGATAGTAGTACGTTGGTAGTGATAATAGTGTAAGTAGCAATCCTAACGTTTTTCTGTTGTCTGAAAATGCGTATTTAATAATATAATATAAACGAAGATGAAATCAATCAAAGTGTGAATTGATGGATTTTTGATGAGCTTTAATTAATAGAAAGTATGTACGATAGAAATTCAGATGTTAGATACATTTCTTTTTGGCATAAGGCCTGTTTCGGCAGATAGACTATATGCGTATGAGCAAATTGTCCTAAGTTCCATCTACTGATTATTAGTAGCTGTACATTATCTCTTTGTCTTTATAGTGTGAAGAGCCCAAAAAAAGATAATTACAGTTGCTCTCGAACTCCGTTCATAGTTAGGATGCACATCAATGATGACTGCTAAACGGTTTTGTCAACATGTAAACAAAGCATGATGGTGATGATGCGATTTATTGAACAACGAATATGTAAGTAATGAATCATAACTCACATCAACATACATTTTTCTATTCTTCTATAAGAGGACCCAAACTTTACACAGAACTCACAAAATTTTATTGTTTCATTTTTTCATTCTTGTTTATTCTTTAAAATAACGAAAAAATGTGTTTCAAGCTCATCAGATGAACTATGGTTATTAGTCTTTTGTTACTTACATAAAATTGATATTCTATATTCATTTAACAATTTAAACATACACTTTCAAATGGTATATTCTCGTTTCGCCGACTTTTCTAAAAATATAGAAATCTACAGTTCTCGTTTCGCCGACTTAATTGATTTATTCATACTACTTACAAAAGTTAAACTTTTTGTATACCAATCAATTTCATACATCGATCGTGAAATTCACTTAATGTTAATTTTTGTTCTTTATATCTTTTCTCCAAATCAAGAATTTAAATAAATCAGTTAAGAAAAAAGTCGAACGAGAACTAATCAAATAGTTGAACCGTATGCATACGTAATTGCTTTACGTGATGTCTGCGGGACAGGCGAGCAATGATTTTTCTTTTTATCATTTCCTCGAGATAAAATTTTCAACATTGGTCTGACATGAGAACTCATTAGAGATGAGCGGCTTTTTCTGAACGTTACTCCGTCCGTGAGGGTTGAGACCTGATCGCGATGAGCGGGATCTTTCGCGAGACCAACTGTTTTTAAACTGGTTCCAATCCAGTAAATTTAAACAAATATAATCTCGCGAAAGGTTCTGCTCATCTCAAATAATCATGAATTTATGAAAACTATGATTTATTCACGCCAAAGACGATTTCACAAAAACGATATATAAACTTGCTTATATGACAAATTATTAAAGTGGTAAATCTCATCTTTAACATACGGTCGAAGTGACGAGTCCACTTTTTTGTGAGATAATATACATTTTCTCCCTCTCTGAAAGCACATTTCAAGCCTCTCTAGAGCAATGAAAATAGCAGTGTTTCTTGTGAGTGCTGGACAACGCTAAAGTCCACTTTGTGCCTAGTAATAAAATTTAACTTCATGCTCTGAAAACAAATTCGTCTACTCGCCTTCTATGTTCATTAGTAATGCAAAATGTATGAATGATGAAAAAGATCGACTATTTTTTTCTGTTTGTTCTGCATGTACGAGATGGAATGCGATTCGGGCCTCAAACAGGAGTCGCCGAAATTTGTTTACTATATACATTTGTCCGCCTTCCTGAAAAACAAGATGATAATTAAAGCATGACTAGAACAACCTTGAAAATTTATTTTTGTCTATTAACTTAGAGTTTGCACGAAAAATAGATTGTGCTCTGGCCTTTTCTTACGTAACATGAATTGTTTTTTTCATCAGTTTTCACTCTAAAAGATGAAGATGTGTCGCATCTATTGGAAACGACGACACATTCTGAGACAATAGTCTGCAACAGATGCGTCACATTTTTGTACAACTACGAGTCCCGCTGTAGTCAGCAGTTGTTTTTTAAAAATAAGCTTTTTAATCATTTGACTATGAAGGTCTATTTTATTTCCAATTCAGTACAGGAATGAGCAGTCGTCAAGAAGCTAGAGCAAAATAAATTTTGAGCAATAGTTGGGCGTATTGGTAACTCTGTCCGCTACTTTATATAGGAGAGAAATATCTATCGATCACTTTGCATAGCTTGTTGTACTCTACCTGCATAAACAAAGATCCTTCCCGTACCAGGTTTACGGCGAATCTGCGATTAAAATACTCAAATCTGATGGTAACGTTACCCACGTTTCTTTACAACTTATATACCAGTTGAATTATAGTAATTTTACAGAGCTGTTGAATAAAGATTCGTTATATTTGAATCTTCTATATTTTTCCAGTTCCTCCAGATGAGCTCATATTCAATGTCCAAAATGTCTTAAATCTGTTAAGTTGAAATCGTTTCTGAAATTATAGACAAGTCAATACACGTATCTCACCAATCTGGTATTATTTTGGCCTTTAGTTTGTTTTAAACTGATCTTAGCTCTTTTATGTTTCTTTCTGACCGTTTGATACTGACGACAATCCGGCATTACATTTTGATGTACATTTTATTTTTTTTATTTATTACTGAGCAACCAGCGTTTTCAGATGGTCACACTTCATTGATTATTGAATCAGTGTATCGTATTTCGTAAATCGAGAAACAACTGGGCGAAGCGTAAGTTGGAAACTAAAATGTCGCATAATATTTACCGTCTATTTTTCGCAGTATTCGCAATCGTCTGACTTTGGTACCAGTTTTCATCTTTTTCACTGATAATCTTTGAGGATACCTGACAAAGATCAATGAAAGTCAGTCGAAATTAATTATATCTTATTACGAAAAGCCGTAGCTGAGCCAGTTTTTTCCAAATCCACTTTTTCTTCACGTCCATGTATGATTAAAATATTCATAACTCAGTTACTTCTCATCCAAACAAAGTGAAATTTTCAGGAAATATTTAAAACAGGGCATAGATTATAGGTCAAGCCGAAAAAGTGCCTAAGTGCAATAAATAATCTCTGCGGCTTTTAAGGAGGTCCCTGAAAAACCTTCCGTGACTCAAACCTAATTCTTTCGACTTGACCTATAATGCATGCCTTGTTTTGAATATTTATAGCTAGATGCACGATATCACTGTAGAATGCACGTGTTCTACTTCTCTACATTCTTTTTTATTCTATCAGAAATGCTTCATCCTTTTAAACTTAAGCTGTATCTAGTAACTTTCACTCAACAACGGTTGAGATAAATGTGAAAAGCACCATAACTTATGGTTCGATCTTGGAAAGTGGTCATCAATCTTCTTACTAATCGTAGTTTTGACACAATAGACAAAAGACATTACGTTACAATTCTCTACTTTATAGTGACTAATTCCATAATAATGCATGGTTTGATCATCAGAAGTGGTCACCCATCCTCTTAATAGTCATGCTTGTCCAGACAGTATTAGTTACAATTCTCCGATTTTAAATATGCGAGTTTTGTGCGGTTTTGAAGAATAAATCATATATAAATGTAAAACTCGACTTGAATAATTATAATTAGTTAACTTTAAAATAAGTTTGAATATAAGTTTGAGTCACGGATCAATCAAAGGTTTAGTTGACTATCAGCATGAAAACAGTTGAGCGGGGATGACTTTCCTTCGAACCGGTACGATCCATCTGGTATTACGTAGAACGAAAATCTCGCTGGAAAATAGTACAGTTTATGTCTTTTATTCGTTAAAAACAGACTTTTCTAATATTCTAATTTAACGAACACTTTTAAGTCTATATAACCCACCATTGTTGTTTATATGCACTATCCCAGAACATGTATTCAAACCGACTTGAATAGATAAAAGCTTCTTTCATCTTCTCGAATGATGTCTCGGATGATTGTTGTGCTAGTAGTTCTGTAGTATCAATTGCTCGTTGTGCCACATCACTGTATTCTTCTCCCGCATATGTGTCAATCCAATCTTTAAATGGATTTGTACTGTTGGAAGTGTTTGCCTGCTGATAAATGTATTTTCCAACTTCACGATAAATCCAGAAACACGGTAAAAGAGCAGCCCACGCTTCTTCAATACTACCCAGCGATACTTTTGCCAGAAGAAATTGAGTATAAGCGAGACATGAGGGTGATTGTTCCATTGTTCGCTGTTGAATATTGAATAGCTTGAAATACTTTTCATGCAACAACTCTTCGACCGATTCAATACCAGTTGCAAATGACAAAAGTAATCTGATCAGTTTCGGCTCTGAACATCGACCGGCCAGTATGCTCAGTGCTCGTCCGAAATCGACGAGATATAAAGCATCTTGCATAATGTAAAATTTAAATTTTTCCATGTCCAAAGTACCATTCATTAGTTCTTGGTTAAACGGATGAGAAATGATTTTCTCGTAAATGGGACGGGCATACTCCCATAACTCATTTGTTTTCGTCATTTTGTCCTTTACACAATATATTCTGATAATACATTCGTATATTCTCTTCTATTAAACAAAAAGAGAAAAAACGTGTTTTATTACTTTACGGAAAGAAAACAGTCTATATGTTTTTTCTCTTTCTTTTGAGATCGACGAGATAATGATAAGAAAGAAAAGCCAGTGCACCACGTTTTGATTCAAAAATGTTAACATACGATTCTGATTAAATAAATAGTCATATGTGACTCAAACATGGAAATTTATTAATTTGATATCGCACATGATCCACAATATTTTTATATCCAACGACATTTAGACAAGCAATGGCATTTGGTAACGAATCACATATTTGTGTTGGTATGAGATTGCTGTAGTTTAAGCAAATTTCACATCAAAACAAGCTTAAAAAATCGACTCTGATTTCTCGTCGAATGGTGAGCTGTAATTTTGTAGACATGTTGTCGTTCTGTGTGTATCCACTCAGGCGAAAAAAATTCTTAGAAATTGCACGAAAAACGCGTTTTTTCCGACCACGTTAGCGAACGATCGTTAATAGAGCTGCTTAAAACGCGTTTTTTGTCGTTCAAAAGTTTAAAATCATCCATTCTTTGACAACGAGTTTGTCAGCGATCGCTAAATTAACCGTTTTCTGGCGTTTTTGTTGAGCACGTTTTCGAACGACGTTACAATGGCCGTTGAAACGCTTATTAAAGTGTCGCTTCTAAGCGCGTTATTTTGATCAGAAAAATTTGCTCTACAAAGCTGTTTTTCAGAAAAATTTTAATTGCATAAGTATCCAGGAAAAAAACATTATTTGAAGACCCGTTTTTTCGAGGCTCTTAGAAAACTTGTTCAAAATCCCCGAAAAACCAGTTTTGTAACCAAAAGCAATACAGATTCTGGAAGTAGACACTTCACGCTATCTTTCCATGTGCGTATCTCAGAACCGATTTTTTGACCGAAAATCACCATTTCTGAGGGAGGGACCCTTAAGCAAACGTTTCATTCGTTCTAATATGCCATGAAACTTTGTGTATGCTGTTTTTTTTCTCTTGTTAGTAGGCGCGTGTGGGGTTTCTCTTTTCGTTCGGTGCGTGTTGAGATGTTTTTGTCAAGGTCAGAGATATACACATAATACTCGAGGCTGTCATTCTCCTTATGATTATCTACCACAGATGACGTGAATAAACGGTATATACAAAGTTTTCCCCCGCATAACCAAAACGCTTTTTTTCGATCCGACTTCGAATTAGACTGTTGGTCAGAAGTCCCAGGCTGTTTGAAAATACGGCTGTAACGAAAACATTTTCAACAAAATTTTGACTAGAGATGCAGTTTCGAAAACTACGATCACAAGCCCCACTCGAAGTCGATCGACTGACTGAAAATAGCTTAACAAATGAGGCACTAATCTGAACTAAGTTGGGCTTATAGTTAATGTTTAAAAGAGAGAGCTGTCCAAACCTGAAAGTTATTCCGCGAGTTAAATCATTTTATGCGGCGTCTCATCCTCACGATGCGAAAACGTCATTTCGCTACGGTGCTTGTAATGCAGTTTCATATCCTGATCTTCTGCTTTCTATCAGCTAGCTATTCACCCATTCGTCTCCATATCCTTTGACTATATCATATTCTAATCGTATGACTTTCTGATCCTCTGAGTTTGTGACTTTCTGATCTTCTGACTTTCTGATCCTCTGAGTTTGTGACTTTCTGATCTTCTGACTTTCTGAGTTTGTGACTTTCTGATCTTCTGACTTTCTGATCTTCTGACTTTCTGATCTTCTGACTTTCTGATCTTCTGACTTTCTGAGTTTGTGACTTTCTGATCTTCTGACTTTCTGATCTTCTGACTTTCTGATCTTCTGACTTTCTGATCTTCTGACTTTCTGGGTTTGTGACTTTCTGATCTTCGGACTTTCTGATTTTCTCGTATCAAATTTCAAGTGCTTTTACTTTAAATTCGTTCAACAAAAATGATTGTAAAAAAGGGATAGAAAAACGTTTGTTAATATCAGACCGTTCGTACATACTAACTCGACTAAACTATAATAAGCAAAAGACAAAACAACGTATTAGAATTATAACCTTTTGTTAACGATATATATAAAATTGTTAAAGTATAACAATTTTATTTGTTCTTTCCCCCTCAATAAAAAAATATACGGCCGAAAAACACCAGTCGAAACGAAACTAATGGATATAAAATCATACAGTCAAAGAACAAACAAAAATCATAATGTATCGATCATGTCCTACGGGCACAAGCCTTTAATAATAAGTTAGATGATACCTTCACGCACACATAATCAGAAAGTCAGAAAGTCAGAAGATCAGAAAGTCACAAACTCAGACAGTCAGAAAGTCACAAACTCAGAAAGTCAGAAAGTCAGAAGATCAGAAAGTCAGAAACTGAGAAAGTCAGAAGATCAGAAAGTCACAAACTGAGAAAGTCAGAAAGTCAGAAGATCGGAAAGTCACAAACTGAGAAAGTCAGAAAGTCAGAAGATCAGAATATTACGCAACTCACTATCTATCCCCTGAACCTTCGAATATACTTCTAACAGTAAAATGACTCGCCGAATAAAGTCTGCACTTGGCCATCTATGTTAAAAGATTTTTTTTCAACAAATTCGGTAATCACTTTCGATTTGATTGCTTCTGGTATTTTCGACATGGAATTCATGAAAAATTGCCGAATTTCAAAAGTCGTTTTAACCTACAAACATCTGTGAGAACTAACGAACTTGAAAATGGTTAATGACTTCGGCGAAAAAATTCTTTTAATAATTAACTATAAGGCCATCTAAGTTCAGACTGGTATCTCGCCTGTCAGCAGTATCATACTTCGAAATGTAGGCTGCAAGCAATACAATGGTTGCAGAGCTGATCAAGAAGTAACTGGAGGTCTCAAGCGAAGTCTCAAACTCATTCTGATGAAAAATACATCAATTACTCGGCGTGAAAATTCAGAAAAAATTAAAGTAATCGAATAGGATAAAAAAGGTGCATCATTCGGCTCGATTTCTGACGCTAATTTTGAATATCATACTTTTGTTTTTGCTTAAAAGTTGAGTTCTAATGGATAAAATTGCAGAATTCAGATTTTTCCAAGTAATGTCGACTTTGTGTCACTATGCCTCTAGTGGGTCTTGGTTGAGCTTGCTAAGGGAAAGAACGGAGGTTAAATTCACTCGAACCGACATAGAAGTACTTTGTTTTTTATGCTAAATCCAAATAAAATAGTTTCAGAAACTAGTTTAAACAGGTTAGATCTTAAATTTTCTCAAATTTGGTCGACTTTTCGCTTTGTAACCATTAACTTGTATTTTAAAGATTTCTCCCCTAAACCATGATCAAAAAAATTAAAAATGATATATTTTTGATATTTTCAACGAGCTCTATTCAACCATGTATGATTATAAAAACAAGTTGCTTTTGCAAGTTTTTCTTAGTTTATAAATAACTTGGACCATTAATAACTATTATTATTCATTGTTCATGTTATCTGATTATTACCCCGTGACTCTGTTCCATATTCGTCGATTTTCTATTCTTTTCTTTCATTCTATCCATCTATATGTTAAACTGATATAAATGTCACTTTTTATTATTTCTTTGACCTTGTTTTTCTCTTTCTTTTATCCTTATGTTCTTCGCTAAAAGAAAAAATAGTTTATATGTATCTATGCTTTGCCATAAGAGAAAAATGATCTGCATCTGTTCTTGGAGAATGAAAAAAGTGGTCTATACATGTGCTTCGACAAGAGAAAAAAAGATCATTCAGTCGAATTTGATATCAATCGATAACAAACGACGTGCTCTTTCAGAATTCGACCTTCACACAACGTTTGAATAATCCTGCAGCAAGATAATGATATTTAACGAGGTAACGAAATTTACTCACAGTGTGTTTTGCTCGCTTATGTCGGCAATTTTCGAAACAAAAGCAACATAATTAGAGAGAACTCGGCGAACTCTATCGAATACCCTAATTTTTATTGTAGTTTGATCTAATTTTGGTGTGGATTATCTAAAATACTGCGTTACGGAATTTCATTAGTATCCGACAGTCGCACTGAGTTTAGATTATTAAACATCTTATGCTCTTTTTATCGGCATACATGTATATATTTCGAATCAGCATCGAATTCTAAACGAAATGGAGTATGTAGTTTTTCAAAATGTCGACTTGGATTTTTCTCCAAAATTTCTCGTGTCGAAAAATTCTCATTTTCGGATTTCACTGAAATGTAGGTCGGACGTCGGTTTCATCTGATACCTGCTTGTTTCGAATCTGGTAAACTTGTTCTGATTGACAAGCTAACATAATAATCATTAAAATAGACGTTAATCAATACTTTTTTTTTAACCCAAGCACAATTTCTATCAATAATAACATCAGGAAGTAAAAGTAATAGTGAGACTGATATTAGTAGCCAACAAAAGTTATCATCTATATCTACTAAAACGGTAAGAATTATGAGCCAATTTCATACAGTTTACAATACTTAAAAATAAGTTTTAGATCAATATAATCAACAAGTCTCAAGGATATTTATTCTGAAGTCAGAGAAAATGAACAGCAATATGAACATAATCTTTGTTCTGTATCGAATGGATTTAATATCATTAAGTTCAGCAACAATAATTAATGACAAGAATAATATTAAAATTAATGGTAATCCAATAACATTTATCTTTGTTTCAAAACTTGACAGTTTTTATTCCGCTCTGACTGTAATTTATCTTCCCATACAATCCTGTTATTAAATCTTTCCAAATTAATGATCTTTCTTCTATATCTTTTTCCGATACTCTGACGTATACTACTATTGTAATAGGAGGAATATAAATTTAGAATCGAGATTGCCCCTTCCCTCACCCACCCCACCCCCATACAGAAGGACGTGAGGAACATGCCAGTGTTGAACATT